CCTCCGCCTCGTGCCCGTTCACCTGCCACCGCCCGCCCGAACTTGGCCGCCTTGCTTGTGTGCCAGCCCCCCAGTGACGACCTCCCAACCTACTCCGCTGGCTATAACAATATGGGGGTGAACTCGCCGCCTTGTGGTTGGCCTTCTAGACAGGTAGCTGCTGGCTCCGTTGCCGCTTCGGCCCGACCCAGGTCTCCAACGCCAGGGAAGCACAGATCGACGCTGTCGCTTCCAACGCTCTCGACATAGACTCGTTCACCATCCGGAAAGCTTGGTTCCTCCTGTTCTCCGACCATGCGGTCCTGTTGACCTCCCCAGGCAGTGTCAGGGCGGCCCCGAGCCGGCCCCAGATGTCCGCTGCAGCCATCTCCGCCCTTCCTCCGCAGGCCACGGCGGAAATTCGCCCCTGCACACCGCTCTCGAAGACACGTTCGAGGTCCCCGACGCTGACCTCACCGAGCTCCCGCAGCCTCGCACGCGGGCGCCCCCCGCCCCCCCAGGACGAGCTTCGCGGTGGCCCCATGGGCTCTGAGCCAGAGCAGCACTTTCCACCGGGCCCGTCACCTCGTCCTGCGGGCGACCCCCCTACCAGCACCCTCTCCCTGGTCCTTGGCCGCCTCATGCGTCGTCGGAGGTGCGCCCTCACAGCGATGTTCGCTGACTGGCGGGCCCGCTGGGCTCGGAGGCACCGCCATCCGCGCGTCGCCTCCGTCACACAACAGCTCCATGCATACAGGGCAGTTAGCTGATGGCTCCGCACCAGAGGATGGACCGGCCAACCCATCTCGGTCGGCATAAGAGGCCAAGAGATGGCTGCAGCGCTAGCAAGCCGACCGCGCCACGCAGGGTGCCGCGCAACTTGCGCCCTGGAGGCGAGGCCTCACGGGCGTCAGGGATGAAGACGACATCTGGCACGAGGCCCCGCGCGAGGTCGAAGGCGACTTTTAGAGCAGCCCCGCTGGTACCTGGGGGGGCGCCCCCGAGATGCCACCGTCTTGCCCATTACTTCTTCGGCGGTCGGCCTGCCCTGGGTATCCCTCGGGCCCCCGCCTCATACTGGGCTTGGCTTGGGGCTCTGGTCTTTGGCCCACGCAAGAGCGCCTCTGGCGGTGACGGCCAGCCCTGCGAGGCATGCCACGTCGGGCGCAGGTTCGTGGCCTGCCCACTCGCTCAGGGCTTGTACGCCGCCCTCGGGGCGCCGGTGCGCCTGGGCGCGGACCTGCCCCCTCCGTCGATATCCTGGTCTGGGTCCGCAAGAGCCCCAACGCGGGGCGCCCCAACACTTGCGGCCCCTCCAGCTACCCGCATGCTTCCCACGCCTCTGCGGAGCTGCCGTTGCCGACCAATTGGTCTGTCGCGGATCCTTCTCATCACTCCGATCCGGCCGCCGTTCGCGGGGCACAACGCGGGCCCAACACCACCGCCGCCGCGTTCCACCTTGGGAGTGACCCTGGGGGCCCGCTGGCAGCTGGCAGGCTGACATCAGGGCGTGGGGGGGCCTGAGCCTGTCGGCATGATTTTCGCAGGGCGGGGGCCCGCGTCGAATGGGGATGTAGGGGCAGGACGTGGCGTGGCATCAGCATTGGGTTGGTTCCAGCTTGTTGCGCGCGCGGCGGACAAATCCTGCCCCCCCTCGCAATGCTTGTTCTCGTCGGCAGGTCGACTATCGGCCACGCGGACGGGACAGGGCTGAACAAAATGCCCCCGCCCTTGGGGGCCAGAAGTTTTGACCCCCCCCCCCCCGACAGAGCGCTCGTCGGCCGAGAAATGTGTTTCGGTGCCCCCAGAGTGCCCGGGGTCTCATTGCCACGCCGAGGACGGACCGAACATATGGGAAACATGTTCCGGCCACCAGGGGCCGCCTTTTTTTCCGCAGCCCCGACCAGAGCGCGAAAGCCGACCAGTGGAAACCGTGACACCGCGAGGGCTGCATGATTTGAGTGCCGCGGATTCTGCGTTGCGCAGGCGTGGCCATTACATCGTCTTCGCTGCCCCTAGCCGTTGGGTCGAGCCCTGGCGAAACTTTGGCCCCCGAGCCCCCGGCTTGAGCCCCCTGTCCGCGCCTCCGCCATGGGCATGCGCGGGCGCTAGATGATGCCAAGAATGCCTGCTGCCATCCGTTGTGATCTCTTCCGCCCACCTGGCTCGGACTCCGATGTGCATGACGACCCCTCTGCATCCCCTGTGGTCCCTGGGGGCTTGGCTTCTGCTTTGGCTGGCAAGGCGGGCACCGGCGCGTCGCGGGGGCTTGCGGTTGTGTCGGAGTCCATGGCAGGCTCTTACGGCGCAGCCGCGAGTCCATTTGCCGATGGCCTTTGTCCTCGGCCTTGTTCGTCTGAGCGGGGGCCTGAGCTGCGCCGGTGGCGATGGAGGCCGTTGGATCGCGTCGCTGCCAGCGTGGCTGCAACGAGCGCTTCTCTCCTCCCCGTCGCAGCCGAGGTCTCGCCCCGTCGATGCGATTTGGCGTTCCTCGCGGACCTCCCCGAGACCGAGCGGTGCATCCTGCTGGCGAAAGGCTTGAAGGCCTGGACATGTCCGGCTTGGGCAGGGAGAGTCTCTACAAGATGTTCGGCCTCCTTTCGCCCGCCTCGCCTCCACGCGGGCTGCCGCGAGTCGCCGTTTGGATGCTCGACTCCAGGATTCCAACGAGGATGTGCCAGTTCAGGGCATCTTCGGTGCGCCCGTTTTTTGTTGGATCGGCGCTGAACCCCCTCCCTGGCGCGCGGAGCTAGCGCGGAGTCGCCGTTTGGATGCTCGACTCCACGATTCCAACGAGGATGTGCCAGTTCAGGGCATCTTCGCTCCACGTGGTCGGGGCGCCGGGCCTTTCCGATTGCAGCCGCTGGCGTCCGCGCGCGGTCGGGGCCGAGCTCGCGGTTCTGGCGCCTGGCGGACGCCGCGCACTTCTGCTGGAAGAGAAGGACAAGGCTGCCCGCGCGAAGGGCGCTGACCTGCTCATCGAGAGCCTCGGCCAGAACCTGGGCGTCAGCGGCTTCCAGCACGAGGCCGAACAGTCTGACGCCACGCGGTAGCTGACGCAGTATAGGGACGAGCTTGCCGACTCATTCGAAGCATCTGGCATGATGCTAGCGGGCCGCGTTTGGCGGCGTTGGCTCTGTCGGGTGGATGTCACGCGCACCTGGATATCCGGCGCCCAGCCTCTCCTACCGCGCTCTCGCTGGCCATTTTGCTGGCCGATGTGGCCAATGGTGGTCCCGCGGTGGGGCGTGGAGTGATGGCGGGGCTCTACTGGATGCATCTTAATCTAGGTTTCTCGCCCCTGCCCCTGGATTTGCCGTTGATGCGCGGATCTACGCACTCGCAGTCGGAACGAGTTCCCCGCTGGGCGGCTGAGCTGCCGCTGCGGGTCTGGAGACAGCATTCGCCATTAACCAGCTTAGCCACCGGCGCCGTCCAATTGAAGGCGAAGCTAGCATTGTCAGAGTGAGGGGGCCGAGCGGTCATTCATTGTCCCTGGGTGCGTGGCTGAAGTGGGGATCCGTGGTGGGGATTCTGCTTGTTGTCGTCGTCGTCGTCGTCGTCGTCGTCGTCGTCGTCGTCGTCGTCGTCGTCGTCGTCGTCGTCGTTGTCGTCCCCTCCCCGATCCGCCCGCGACCAACTTGCGACCCACCCCGCGACCCGACCCGCGACCCACCCCGCGACCCACCCCGCGACCCACCCCGCGACCCGCGACCCACATCGCGACCCACCCCGTGACCCGCCCCTGACCCACCCGCGACCCACCCCGCGACCCGACCCGCGACCCACCCCGCGACCCACCCCGCGACCCACCCCGCGACCCACCCCGCGACCCACCCCGCGACCCAACGCGACCCACCCCGCGACCCGGGCCGCGGCCCACCCGCGACCCACCCCACGACCCACCCCGCGACCCACCCCGAGACCCACCCGCGACCCGGGCTGCGGCCCACCCCGCGCCCACCCCGCGACCCACCCCGCGACTCACCCACATTGCTTTATCGAAGAAGTCGGCGCCTGCGGCGGGCTCATTGCATAATTTGTAATACTTAAGGCGCATGCGGCGGGCTTCTTCAGAGCCTCGCAGACTGACGACGTCCTCGCCGCCCCCTCAATCTTATCCACAACTGCGGGGTACTACGCCCAGCGCCATGCCGCCTTGCCACTGCCTCGTGATGGGTCGGCCGTCTCGCCTTTTCCTTTGTCCTCTTGTGACTACTCGGCGCGCGCGCGGTCCTCCGCGCACAGCGTTTGACGGTGTGGCGATTCGCCCATCCGCGACGGCATTTGCGTGAGCGTGTGCGCGTGCGTGTGCGTGTGCGTGTGTGTGTGTGTGTGTGTCTGTGTGTGTATGTGTGTGTGTGTTTGTGTGTGTGCGTGCGTTTGTATGTGTGGGTACGTGTGTGCGTGCGTGCGCGTGTGTGTGTGTGTGTGTGTATGTGTGTGTGTGTGTGTGTGCGTGTGCGTGTGCGTGTGCGTGTGTGTGTGTGTGTGTCACGTGGTGGTGGTGGTGTGTGTGTGTGTGTGTCACGTACGTGTGTGTGTGTGTGTGCGTGTGTGTGTGTGCGTGTGTGTTTTGTGCTTGTGCGTGAGCCAGGATGAGGCGGAGGAGGAGGACGGGGACGAGGCGGAGGAGGGTGATGAGAAGGAGGCGGAGGCACCGAGGCAACTGCTGGAGAACAGTGTCCCGACGTTTGGTTGCTCTCTGAGGTCCTGGATTTTCGAAGCGGGTGGCGGGCTTCGGACAGGACTCAGAGGGAGAGGAGGAGCAGGAGGAGCAGGAGCAGGAGGAGGATGAGCAGGAACAGTGGGCACATCAAGCAAGAGAAATGCTTGCCAGCCGTCGCAGGTGGCCCATGCAACGGTTTTCTTCCCCGCTGGCCCACTGGGACCACGGTGAAAGTCTGGGGCACCGTTCGAAGACTAATCCCGAAGGAACATGCGCCCCTGGTCCATCATCGCACAATCCCCTGCCGTTTGCACCTGCCGTGGGAGGAGCTGGCTACGTCGGCGGCCCCACCATGGCCACCATCGCGTACAAGTGCCCCGAGATCACTGTGAACATAGTCGACCTCAACGAGGCCCGCGCCCCCGGATTTCGGGCCCCTCCTCCCGCGGCCACGCGTGAGAGTGACCCTTCGCCGGAGCGACCTCTGGTGCGCGGCCCTTCCAGGCGCGGGGCGCAGCGGGAGCCATCTCCAGCCTCGTCCCAATGTTCGGTCGGCATCGCCTCCTCTCGATGCCACTCGCAAGGGCTCTTTCGGTTTTCGAGGGCGCACCCCCAAACATTACCCTCGCGCTTTGGCTTGCCAGCCTGAGGTGTACTCGTCGGCCGTCGAATTTATGTATTTTCGGATGGTGCCCGTCTGTCGCTGAAATTAGGGATCTCCGGGATCCCAGATCCCAATCTACTTCAAGCGCTTTCTTCTTCCAGAACCGATCTGCTCCTGCTGCGTTGTGTTATTCTCGGAAGGGCCTAAACCCAATCTGCTTTCTCCGCCTCCCGACTTCATGTTGTTTACCCACTTCTCCCGACCGACGTGTGGGGATGCCCGCTCGTGGCCAATTTCTCCCGCCTTCCCGAGCGGCGGCGCGGCGGGCCGGGCGGGCCAGCTGGGCGGCCCCGCTGGGACGTTCGCGGACCCAGGAGCTGCCAGGTCCGACAGCTGCGTCAGGAGGCCGCGGGCGCCGACGGCGGGGGGCCTTCCGAGGCTCGCGGTTCTCGAGGGGTTCACTTGGGCGTGGCCGCCGTCGCCGCCAACGCCGCCGCCGCCGCCGCCAACGCCGCCGCCGCCAACGCCGCCGACGACGACAACGACGACGATGACGACGACGGGCCACCCGCGCTCCGGCGGCGGCGGGCGGCCGCTGCGGCCGCGGCGGAGAGCCTGGGCGTGGCCCTGCTCACCCTCCCAGCGTCCTCGCGGGCGCTCTCCAGCCCGGGGATACCCGTCGGCGAATGGCTGGGGGCCCCCGTCCCTCTGCCGCGGCCGCTGCGGCTCCTCTCTGTCTGGTGTTCGAGGAGGAGGGGGAGGAGGAGGAAGGAGGAGGAGGAGGAGGGGGAGGAAGGAGGAGGAGGAGGAGGAGGAGGAAGGAGGAGAAGGAGGAGGATGAGGAGGAGCAGGAGGAGGAGGAGAGAGGAGAGGGAGGAGAGGGAGGACGGTGGGGCCTCCTTAGCCTACCAGCCCATCTTCCCCTCTGCCCTGCTGCTCCTCGTATTCTCACCCCCTTGGAGCATTCTGCGGACTGCCCACGCCAGTCGTGATCTGAGCAGGGGCGGGCCGGGAAGTGGCAGCGTCGGCCACGAATCCCACTTCGTCCCCATTTTTCTTCAGGTTTGCGCAGCGGCCCAGACCCCCGCGCGTCCTGGAACAAAAACACGCGATGGAGGGCTTTTCGCTGTTTTCGGTCTCTGAGGGCCCTGGGCCTCGGAACCGTCAACAGCATCATCCAGGATGGCAAGCCGGTCCCCAGGAACCGGTCGAGCCATCGAGGGGTCCGCGTCGACAACAAATCACGACGTCAGGGGGGGGGGGAGGTTTTTTGGGGGCGGGGGTGCTTCCTGGAGGCTTCCAGAGACCTCCACGGATTCTCGAGGACCTCGGCGGCCTCCCGAGACCTCCGCCGGAGAGCTCCTCACTCGTCCTCCCGGATCCTCGGCCAGGCCCGCATCGCGGCCTGGAATTCGGATGCGCTGCCCATCTACGAGCCCGGGCTCAAGGAGGTCGTGGACGCGTGCCGCGGCAGGAGCCCCCGTCGCCCCGTCGCCCCGCTCCCCCCGCCTCGCGTGCGCAGGTCACCCGTGGGGGCGCGAAGGCGGCCCCGCTTCGCGCTTCGCGGCTTGGCCCGAGGGTTACGTCGGGCATGTCACTGCACAGGGGAATACAGTCGGGGCCCTGAAGAAGGAACCCTTTTCGTTGGGAAGGGGCTCCGTGTTCCTTAAGTGTTTCACAGCTTGCCTCAGGTTTTCCTTATGTTTTCGATAGGAAATCGAAGTTCAACTTATGGTAAAAAGGGGCCTCGTTCCTTATTTAGGGTTCCTTAGGTCAACGCCCCGACTGTATTCAAAAATAATCAAAAAGTAGTCAAGGGCCGAATTTGAGCATTTTTGGCAATGAGTTTTGTGTGAGTATTTTTTATATGTTCGTCCCAAATCCACCTGTAGGGGGACATGCCCGACCCAACCCGAGGTCCGAGGGTCGCCCCTCTCCAGGTTGGCGGCACGGGGGCGTGAGGATCACCGCGCCTCGCGCGTCGCGGAGCGCGAAATTACCGCGAGGTGCTCGAGAAGATCAGATCTCTGTTTGCATCAGAGCGCAATACTTCAAACGTTATGTTCAAGCAGGCCCGCATTTCTGGGGAGCCATGCGAAAAGCTCGCGTTGCGGTTTTTGTACACGCGCCATTGCCGACGACCTTGCGCTTTTAGGCACTGCCATGCAGGTCGCTGCTTGCAGTGTTTCATGGACCTTTACTAGACCAGCATGTGGTGTTAGCATCTGCAGTGGGGTTGTCGTTGAAGGTGATGAGAGCCTGTTTCATTATGACGACAAGCGGCTTTATTCTTTACGGGAACTCATGACGTTTTGTCGTCGATTCAAAGTGCGATTCTCAGTGAGTCGGCAATTCGTGCCCGCGGCTATCTAGGCCAATACACATTACACTCACGCCCACTCGGGAGCTTGCGTTCGGAGGGAACACATCTGTATATACATCATTAGCGACTGGCTCCGATGGGATGCACCTGCACAGCAGACTTTGCACCGTAAGGCCTTCCTTGCTGCAGCTGTGAGAACTTATACGTGGCTTCAGAGTCTTGGGCAACGACGACATCGCTGATGTTCTAACATTTGGGGGCAAGATGGGCGCCCGAAGACAGGATACCTTGCTTTGGCGCTGATGTTTGCTTTGGCGTTCGCTCAATATGGATCTTTGCACGCACGAAGATTAAGCACGTTAAGGTAGTGAGCCATCAAGATTGGGCGCTTGCTATTTCATTGTATGGATGGAAAGAGAGCGAGAGAGAGAGAGAGACAGACAGACAGAGGAAAAGAGAGAGAGAGATTGACAAAAGAACGAGAGAGAGAGAGAGAACGACCAAGAACACAACACAACAACACATTGAGAGATTGAGAGGTCTCGGGTGGCGCTTATGGACAAACGTGGCCACAGAGGGTGAAACCGCTGTCCGCTGGACGGGGCCAAGGGCTTCGGATACGCTCGCGTAGGGCGGAGGTCTGCACTGGATGCACCTCGCGCGCCGCGGCAGGAACCTCTTCTTCTCCACCGACGTGCAGGCCGGGATCGCGGACGCGGACATTATCTTCGCCTCGGTCAACACGCCCACGAAGACCCAGGGCGTCGGCGCCGGGCGTGCGGCCGACCTGAAGTTTATCGAGAGCGTGGGCCGCACCATCGCCCAGCACGCCAACCGCAGCAAGATCGTGATCGAGAAGTCCACCGTGCCGGTGAAGACGGCCGCGGCTTTGGAGCTCAGAGGAGCAAAAGGTACCCCCATGCCTCTACCGTTTTCTCCTTTTTGGGCCTCCTGGGAGGCCCTCGCCGCCACCGCTGGATTCGCCTCGCAATCCTGGTCAGAGCGCACCCTGGGAGAGGCTCGGGGAGCACCGGTATCGGCACCTTCTGGTTTCCCCAGGAGCGCGTGCTGACAGCGAACGAGCTGCACTCGGGGACCGTGGGGAAGAGGTCCGCGGCCAGGGCGGGCGACCAGGGGTCGGACGGGGCCAGGGGGAGGATCGTTCCAGAGCGTTCTCGGAGCGTTCTCGGAGCGTCCTGCGCGCTCTGAGAAGGCCGCGGCGCCCGATACATCCTCCAGGGCCGCCGGATCGCAGAGATCCTCGATCTGTCCTCACCCCACCCGAATGTGTCCTCGGCCTGGCTCCGTCTGAAGGGGAGATCGCAGGCACCCCCTCGCGTGATGCGCAAAAATCACCACAGAAGGTTTTTGCTACTTTGGGCCTCTTGGAGCCTTTGCTTCGGCGGCGAGCGAGGGGGGAAGTAGAAGGAGAAGGCCTTCTCAGAAGGCGGCGGGACTTCTCAGAAGCCTTCTGGGCCGTCTTCTGTGTCTTCGTGGGAGGCTTAGCAAACTTCTCAGAAGGCCGGGTACCGTCCGAGGCTCCTGAGAAGGCCATCACTTCGCCCCCAGGCTGGCCGCCGAGTCCCAGGACTATCAAGAAACGGCTCGGGATGAAAAGCTGAACCCAGGGAACAGGTCCAGACCGCCCACAGCAGGATAAAAATCATCACTAAGGAAGGTTTTGCTGTTTTGGGTCTCCCGAGGCCCGCATACGGGGCCCTGGGACTGTCAACAAGAACACTCGGGATGAAAAGCTGGCCCCAGGGAACAGGTCCAGACCTCCATGGGTGTCCGCTACAGGAGAAAAAAGCACGGCGTGGGGGGTCTGAAACGGGCACGTGGGGCACGCGCTCAGAAGAAAAATCGCCTCCTCGGCGGAAGGCGGCGGGAGGCTGGCGGGGCGCCGCCGGGGAGGAGGAGGAGGAGGAGGAGGAGGAGGAGGAGGAGGAGGAGGAGGAGGAGGAGGAGAAGGAGGACGAGGCGAGGACGAGGACGGACGAGGAGGAGGAGGAGGAGGAGGTGGAGGAGAGGAGGAGGAGAGGAGGAGGAGGAGGGGGGCGACTCCGGCGGTGGAGGGCCAGCGGGGGCAGCAGCTGCGCCCGCGAAGGACGCACCCTTGTTGTCGGCGGCGTGCCCATGGGGGGAGTGGGGCGTGCAGAGGGGGCGGGCCTTCTCGGGAGGCTCGGAGGGCCTCTGGCCTTCCGAGAAGCTCTCCGAGCCTCCTCCAAAGACGGAGGCGGCCTCTCGGCCAGGCCAGAGGGAGGCCCCGCCGCCCTCTGAGAAGGCCTGCCCGCTCTCCCTCCCTCCCCTCCCCAGACCCCCGAAGGCATGATTCTTTCATGACGGCGACCCCCCCAGAGGTTTCGACCTACTCACCAGGACCGGTCTTTCATCCTGAGTCGTTTTTTGACGGCCCTGAGGCCCGGTGAGAGCGCCCAGAGGCCGAAAACTGTGAGAAACCTCCCGTCGCGTCTTTCCATTCCTACTGATGGGGGTCTGGGCCCTGGGCGCGCCCCCTGAAGGAGCACACTTCCTCGGACTCCGGGGTGTCTGGCCCAGGCCGCGCCAGCGCTCCAGTGCCCCTCGGCCGCAGGCCGGGGGCCTGGCTGCCCCGCCCTGCCCAGAGAGCCGAGGCTCACAGAAAGTCGGAGCGGCCGACTGTAGGGGCTATGCTCGTTCGCACAGCTGTGTTCTAGAGCTCGGGCCTCTTTCTTTTCGTCGTCGTCGTTCGTTCGTTCGTCGTGCGTCATCCCCCACCCGGCCACAGAAGGAAACTCCTGGAGGAAGGAGGCGAAGGCCTCCTGTCCCTCGCAGTTCCGTTGTGCGAGAGCCAGGGCACGCGTGCCACTTGTTTGCGGCCTCGGGGTGCGTTCCACGGGCCACGCCGCGGGGCAGTCAATACATATATCGGCCTTGCGCAGAGGGGGTGGGGGGAGGGGGGCAGGCTTCTTAGAAACACCCCTGCTTCTCAGAAGGCGCGGGCCCTGTCTGAAGATGTAGGACCGGCGCCTTCTAAGCAGCAGCCTCCTTTTGAAAAACCTTCTCCCCTCCCCCCCTCCCCTTGTGCGCGCGGCCAAAAATATCTCGCCCAAGGGAAGTGGTCCAGGCCTGCGGGGGCCCACGCATCAAAAAGATGGGAGCGTCCGGATGCCTGGGTGTCCCCAGAGCATGCGGCTTCGCTGTCGGGAGCCATCGCCGATCGGTCGGCGATGCATCACCGGCCCTGGGCCCCAGGCCGATGTTTCCCACCTATGGGCAGGTTCTCCCCCCCCGCCCTTCCGCACAACCATCCATTTTCGGGGATCCACGCGAATTTCTTGGATCGGCGTTGGACCCCCCGGCGGCGGCGATCCAAGACATCGGGAAAGGTTTCCGAGCGTTTGGCCGTCATCGTTTTGGGGCCGCTTATGAGGTCCTCTGCCGATGTTCTTCCGCCCTCTTCGTTTTTTTTTCTTTCTTCTTCTGGCCGGCCCGAAAGATGCGGCGAGCTTTAGCAATCAGGGCGGCCAGGCATTTCAGTTTTGGATTCTTGGCATCGTCAGGAGGCCATCTCGTGCAATCTGGGGCCCTCTTGGGCCCTCTTGGACGCTCTGATGCCTCCCAGTGGCCCCCCTCCAGACCCAGGGAGGGGGAGGGGAGAGAGGTCACTGTGCCCACCCCCCTCTCCCCGAAGGACGGCCGTCTTGCTCCCTCCCACCCGCCCTCCCAACACAGAAGTAGCACTCGCGTCTCAGCATGGACAGGGGCCGCCATGGACCACCATCGGGAAGCAATGCAGACGCTAGCTAGGTCCTCGATGCCCGCGAGGTGTTCCACGCCTGCCAGCGCACCCCCATCATCCTTGTCAGATTACCATGCAAAATGATCGCGGGGCAGAAGCGCATGGTCGTTGCCAGAACGTGTGCGTACTCAGAAGATGATGGGCCTGCGCGCAGCAGGTAATTTGCTGGCACCCCTCTCGTCCCTGTCAAAAATCAATGCAACATCATCGCTTGGTGCCCGCACATGGTCCAGACTTAGCCGTAAGTAAGGTGCACCTTGTATTGGTTTGATAGGGACGGTGAGGGTTGTCACAGTCCCATGTTCGCCCCCAGTCATGTAGGGAAGGAGGGGTTTCTAGTAGTTGTAGTAAAGGACTGGGAGATCTATCCCCGAAGGAAAAGAAGGAGGTTGGAACAAAGATCGTGCCAAACCATCTTCGCCCAAAGGGCTGGTGGGATTTTGGGCCCCATCGAGACCCTCTGCGTCCTCCCACGTCCGTGCCACAGCGGCCCACGGCGCGCGTATCCGCATCAGGGCTGCGGCCGAGAGGCCTTCTCTGGCACCCCGCGGGCTGACAAGCCACGTCTCCCCCAGGGGCGCGAAGATCATCGCGCTTCGCGCGTCGCGGCCTGGCCCAGGGCGGCTGCCCTCCGCCAAGGGGTCGGCGCGAGAGCGCGGGGATTCGAGGCGGGGATTCATCCAGAAACACCGCCTGGGGGGGGGGGGCGATCCAGGCGGTGAATCTGCATGTATTCGGGCCCGCTTGGACCAACATGCATCCACATCCACCGCCTGCGGGGCTCCCAGAGCGTCGGTTCCCCAGGTGGTGGAAAAGGACAGGTCCCCCGCCTCGCAGAGGGCGCGAAGATACTCACACGTCGCGCGTCGCGGGGCGCGACGCGCGAAGCCATGTGGCCCAGACGAGTGCTGCGATCGAGAGAGCCCTGGTGTCCGGCGAACGGATGAGATCACCGCGTCGCAGTCGTGAGCAAAACCGTGTGGTGGGCGCTCCATGGTGGCCTCGCCTTTCGGGAGCTTTCGGGAGGGTTCGAGGCGTTGACGTCTTGACCACGGGCGGATTGTTTCGGCGAGAGGTGGCGGCCAACAGGATGGAGGGGTGCCTGCTCGGCGGAAGCTTGGCGGAAGCCGGCGCAGGTCAAGTGGGGAGCAGTTCGGGCGTTTCTTAGTGGGGGTGAGGGGTTCGCAAAGGTGGGGGGAACCAAAGAGGCCCTCTGGGGCCACGAAGGTAAGCAAATAGGTACACCTGCTCTACCTCCTGTTTATGTCCAGGCCTCTCAGGTGGAGGCCGAGCAGATGGGGTCGGAGGATCGCGCCCCGTCGCCGATGTATCGGCGATGCGGCCCGCTGTGGAGCCCGATCTTCTCAACGTCGACGTCGTCGATGCATCGCCGACGCTTCGCCGATGCACAGAAGATCCGCCACAGAAATATATACACAGATGCGCCCCAAGTTGATTATGCCTGAACCTCGGGGGAGGGCGGCTGTGTACAAGTCAGTACAAATCCAGCGACATCACACACCGCCACTCTACTTGAAGATAGGAGAGGTTATCGGCGGGTGCTCGTGTGTAAGATACATTGGTGTAGAAACCCGTTTACGGCAGCGCAGAACTCTGCTCTGGCTGTGCCCCGGGAGGAGGCTGCTGAGGGGGACGTTGGCTAGAGTGATTCCGAGATGCACCCACGCTGCTCCAAGACACCCTCCCGCGGAGTGAAGACCACGCCATCCCAACCCAAGCCGAAGGTCCCAGACACACCCAAAGTTTCGGTTCGGGGGGCGTGCGGAGTCTGCTGCGTTTTCCCGACGTTCCAGAGCGTCCCCCACTGGAAATTGGCAGGCCCAGTGGCGACTTCGGGTTGTGTTTGTGTGGCTTTGTGGGCGGTCAGAAGAAGTAGAAGGAGCAGGACCCAGACCCCGACGCATTTGTTATATATAGCGGGAAACCTGGACCCCCAGAGCTCTGGACCCCTTTTCCCAGGGACTAGTTGTTCATGCTGGGTCGTTTCTAGACAGCCCCGAGGCCTGGTAAGGCCCCCAGAGGCCGAACACGAAAAACCCTCCAAGTCGCGCTTTTTGTTGCGACGCGAGGGGGTCTGAGGAGGAGGATGGGAACTTCGAGGACGAGGGGAACGAGGAGCAGGAGGAGGAGGAGAAGGACCAGGAGGAGAATCAGAGGTTCTACATCCTGTCGAACCCGGAGTTTCTGGCGGAGGGTACGGCCATGGCGGACCTGGACAACCCAGACCGGGTGTTGATCGGAGGTCAGGTCGAGCAGGCTGTGCAGGCGCAGGGCGGGTGTATGATAGATGGACGTATGTGTACATATGTATACGCATCTGTGTTTGTGCATGCATATGCAAATTTGTATGGCAACATGTCTTTACTTGTATTTGTTTAGTTACAGATGTGTATGTCCATGTGTTTGTCCATATCTATGGGTGTCTGATGCATATGTGCATATGTAGGCAGCTGCACGTGCATATGTACTTGCAGATTTAAATCTACACACGTATATACCGGCATACATACACATATATATATATATATATATATGTATACATATATATAATGTATCTAGACATGTGCACGCTTACGTTTGGGCGTATGTTTATGCTCATGTGTGTGGTTGTGTTTATGTTTGTATATTTACTTTGTAGGTGTTATATATATAAATATATTTATATTCCTCTTCCTATCTTTTTACAAGCCCGGGCGGGGGGAAAACCCGTCACCCCCCAAAAAAAAACCGGACTCCTGGGATCTGGGGCTTTGGGAACCTCCAGACGGGCCTCGAAGCGGCCCCCGGGCCTCGCAGGGCGTTTTGCCAAGCCTTCCCAGCACACCTAGGGCGATCAGGAGGGTCATCGGAGACGTCCCAGGGACCCCCAAGACGCACAAGAGCGCTCCAAGAGTGGCCGACGTGACATCAAGATGGCCCAAGAGGCCTCCAGGACGGCCCCAAAGATGCCTCCAGGAGCACTCCAAAGAAGGCCCCCCGTGGCAAAAAACCCTGGTTTTCTATTGGTGGTTGGTGAAGTCTGCGGTTCTCCTCTATTCGGCTTCCCGACGCTCCAAGACTGCGGTCTTCTGGGCGTTCGAAGCCGCCTGGGGGGCTCCAAAATCGCCCCCAAACCATCCGAAAGGGCTTACAGGCAGTCCAAGAGAGCCCCCAAACGGCACACCACGGGTCCAAGATGGCCCTCGGAGAGCCCCATGGCGGCCCAAAATGGCCCAAAGACACCCTCCGAAGCATTCCGAATCGTTTTCCCGGTCGTTCAGGGAGGGAGGAGGCAGGGTGGCCCGAGGAAGCCCCCGGAGGCCCCCAGAATACGCCCAAACTTCAAGGACCAAGGTGCATGGCGCGAAGCGCCATTGCAATCTTGTATATATATATATATACACACATAACTGTGCTTGTTGGCGCTGGTCCGAATTTCGCTCGCCTTAACAATGCTTGGGATGTTGCGGTTGGCGTTTGGGGGGGCATTGCGTCGAGTTCGGCCAGATCCAGTGCCCCAGAGGGGTCTCAAATCCTCGTGTCCCTCGCTCTCGCCCCTCCGAGCAGCGCCGACGTCGAGAATGTAGACCCACCCGAATGTTATGTGGGTATTGATACGGGCCGCTACCTACTAAGGGAGGCCCCGCCTGGGCTCCCCCTTCCCCCCCCCCCAAGACTCCCCCTCCTCTGGCAGGTATAATCTGGACGGGGCGGGGCGATGCGGATGACACCCCGCCAGGGGCCCCCTGGGCCCCTGTCTCCGTCTCCAGGCAGTGCCCGGCTGTTCCCGACGTTCCCACCATACATTTCCGGCGGGAGGAGGAGGAGGAGGAGGAGAAGGAAGAGGAGAGGAGGAGGATGAGGAGGAGGAGCAGGAGGCGGATGAGGAGGAGGATGAGGAGGAGGAGGAGGAGCAGGAGGAGGAAGAGGAGAAGGAGGAGGAGGCAGAGGAGGAGGAGTGGGACGCGCGGCGCTGCGGATTCAAAACGAGGACAAGGCAATACGGGACGGTTGGAAGTTGAGACCTGTCTCAAGAGAGCATGTCGATTTTGCGTAAGGCCTGCTTGGTGGTCTTCGTTGGGTCGTCTTGTGGTGTGCCGGAGTTTTCTCGGGATGCTGCGGGCCGTCGAGGGGCCTTTTGGGCGCTCTGCTTGCCGCTTTGGGGTCCCGCTGTCCAGGCCTGGAGGGGATTTTCAGGCGGCCCAGAAGGCCAAGGGGGCGCTCTGCCGGGGCGTCCAGGCTGTCTGGAGGGCACAGTGATATGGTGGTCATGTCTTTGTTCGTTGGGGTCCAGTGTATGATATGTATGTTCTAGATGTGCATACACACATGTATACACAGTGTTGCACATCTGCTTGTACGCATGTATCTGTATAGCTGCGTATTACTATATGTGTATGCTGTTGTATCGATGTGCGTATATGTGATTGTTCGTACGCACATATGTGTGTATGCATGTGTGTGTGTAGAGTTGTTTACGTGTATGCACGTTCGGTTGTGTGTATGCCTAACTGTGTGTATGTATGTTTCCATGCACTTATGTATGCATGCACGTGTGTGTTTTGGGTATATGTATATATATGGATGCGTGTATGCATGCATGCATGTATGCATGGCTGGATGTGTTCATGTATATGTGCATGTATGTATGTATGGATGTATGAATGCATGTATGTACGTATGCATGTATGTATGCATATATCTATGTGTATATGTGTGCATGCATGTGTATGCATGCATGTGTGCATGTGTGTGTCGGTAGGTGTGTGTGCATATATGTGTGCCTGTATGCATGCATGCATGCATGTATACATGTTTGTATGTACGTATGCATGCATGCATGTCGGTGTTTATGTATGTAAGGCTGTATGCCTGTCTGTCTGTGTGTCTGTCTGTCTGTCTTCATGTATGTACGTATGTCTGTTTGTACGTTTATGTGTGTTCATGTGTATGCGTGTGTATTTATGTTTGCTCTTTCCCTTTTTCTTTATATATATATATATATATATACACATATGTAGTCACACCCGCTCTCAGTTACTTCCTGTCTGCCTGGGAGAGGCGGCGCGAGGCCTAGCAGCTACAGGGCGGTACACCAAAGAAAGACCAACTGAGTAGGAAGAAGAGGACGCGGTATGAGGAGGATGAGGAGGAGGAGGAGGAGGAGAAGGAGGAGGAGGAGGAGGAGGAGGAGGAGGAGGAGGAGGAGTTGGAGGGGGAGGAGGAGGAGGAGGAGGTGGTAGGAGGAGGCGGGTCAGGTGCTCGTGGACATCTACGCGCACTGGGTGCCGCGCGAGAGGATCCTCACGACCAACCTGTGGAGCTCCGAGCTGTCGAAGCTGGTCCCCGTCTGCTCCGCACTCCTGCCCCTCCCTCCCCGAGTCAAGCCGGAGGTTTCCGTCACCGCTTCTGGCGCTCAGTGGCCGCTTGTTCTGCCGTCGGGGCCGGCAGGAGACGACCTGATGATGAAAGACCGATGTGCAGGGAGCAGCGAGCCGAGAGTCCAGGGGGCCCAGCATTCAGCAGAGCACGCCGTCGGATGTCTGGGCCCAAGAGACTTCAGGGCTAACGGTGGGGGGGATAGGCTCAGCGGGGGACGCATTGACCCCCAACCTCCACTCATCGCCGATAGGCGCCTGATAGCCCCACCCCGCCCAGGAAAGCGCAGACCCGCTATCGGCAGCCCATCTCCGATCTTATCATCGGTCTCAAGACTTCCCGTTCACCCCGAGTCACCTCTGACGCACCCGGCGGTGCGATGACCGCACCGTTTGTTAGGATGCAGATCTTGGGAAGTTGAATTCAGCATCGCCTCTTACATATGCCATGGTCGAAAAGCGGCCTAATCTGGTTTAACTAACGCTAATCCCGCTGAATCCAGCGCGATCTGGTTTAATCCTGGGCTTAGTCTGAGCTGATCCGGCTTGGTGGCTCTCTTAAAAATGTCTCCCAGAAGTTGCCCCCTAATCCTTCGGAAGTTTCGAGTGTCTGGGATCCTACACATCGGTCTCGTCCCTCCGCCTCGGCATCCGAGGTTGCCAACGCAATGCTCGCCCAGCGCGTGAGCAGCATCAACTCCATCTCCAGGCTGTGCGAGCGCACGGGCGCGGACGTCAGCGAGGTGTCCCGTGCCATCGGCACCGACAGCCGCATCGGAAGGAAATTTCTGAACGCCTCGATCGGATTCGGCGGCTCCTGCTTCCAGAAGGACATCGGCATCCCCCGAACATCCTTATTTCATGTGTGCGCAGCCCCCCCCTCAGGGGTGACGCGCGTGCTCAGCAATCTTCCAGTATCGGAGGTGAGGGGGTGAGATCGCAGCGCAAAGCGGAGAGCCCCCCCCTGGAAATCGGTTTCGTGTTCGTGTCGTGCGTACGGGCGGGACGAAGCTGCGTGGGTTGGCGAAAGGAATGAGCCCTCCTCTGTCCAGGGCGCCGCCGGGCCAAAAGACCGCCCCGCCCGAGTTGTCCTGCGGTGGCTGGGGGTGTTCCGCGGGTGTCCCGCCGGTGTCCCGTCGGTGTCCCGCCGGTGTCCGATAGTGAGATCGATTGTGAGATCGATAATCAGCACGATAGTGGTTTCGATGGTGAGATCAATCGTGGTTTCGATCGCGAGATCGATCGTGCGATTGATACTGAGATCGACAGTGAGATCGATAGTGAGCACAATACTGAGATCGGTACGAAGATCCATAGTGAGATGGATTGCGAGACCGTGATTCCATCTCCGCTTCCACTAACAAGTTCCCTCGGGGTTCGCAGTGCCACCTCCACCTGCCGACCTCCAGCCACCACAACCTCAACACTCCGACCGCCAGCCTCCACCAACTCCACCAACTCGACATTCCGACATTCCGACTTGTCCTCTGTCACGACGCAGCGCCCGCCCCGAACGCCAGCACCAACACCAACGCCAACGCTAGCGCCTCCACCAACACCAGCGCCAGCCACGACGATGGCATCCACGCCAGCGCGCAGACACCAACGCCAGCGTTTCCAACGCCGACGCCAACGCCGACTCAGGCGCGCACGTCCACAGCGGGACCGCCCGCGCCTACACCGGCATCCACGCCGGCGCCCACGCCAATTGCGACTGCAGCCCCTACGCCAGGAACAAAACCGACGCCTCCACTGGCACCGGCGCCGGTGCCGTCACCAGCACCGCAGCGCACTGGTTCACGAGTAAAGCCACATACGGCAGTACCTGTGCAGGGAACCACCACCGCACCGAATTTTGAGATTTTCGTTGCGTCTTGCATCGTGGTGCGAATGATTTTCTCCGCGCTGGTATCAAAGAGCTCCGTGCCCGCCCGGGGCGGATATTTGGACGGTTGCGCTAGCTGCTGGGAAATATGCTGAGCAGCAGCACGACGTCGAGCAGCGCGGCCTTGGGTCAACACGACGGCCACCACAAGCATGACGATGAGCAGTACGACGATGACACGCCGGGTGCTCGCCGCCATGATAAAAAGGCTTGCGTACTGCTCAGCACAAGTGCTATTCGCATTCAAGAGTCGATGCAACAACCGAATTGCATTAAGCGAAGGGGGGGGACAAATGGTAACAGAAAGCTGGCGGCACGCGGAAGTGGGGACAAATGGTAACAGAAAGCTGGCGGGATCATGCCGATGCCATGCCGACAAGACGCTTCCTCTACAGTGCTTTCTGACTGCCATCACCCCTTCTACAGTCACACACACACACACACACACACACACACACACACACACGCCCGCGCCTACACCAGCACCGACGCCAGCACCACCGTCAGCGCCTACGCCTGACCCAACGCCAGCGTCTGCACCGGTGCCGACGCCCACATCGACGCCCCCATCGACACCAACGTCGGCGTCGCCTCCTTGCCAGAGCCGATGGCAGCACCGACGCCAGCATCAACACCTGCGCCAACGCCAGCATGCTCAATTGTGATCCACGAGTGCACTGCTATTTCCGTACGCAGCACCCTCTATCCCACTTTGAGGGATAAACGGCTGTAAGGACGGAGCAAACCTACTCATGATTTACATCATTTAGCGCACCGCATGGGATTGATGTGTACCGCCTGCCCCAACACCGTCGCCAACGCTGGGACCAGTGCCAGCGCCTACGTAAGCACCGACGCCAACGCCAGCACCAACGCAACCGTCGACGCCTGCAACGGCGCCGATGCCAGCACTACAGTTGCAGCAGCCACGCCAACGCCTACACCTCACCAGCGCCAGCGCCAACACCAGCACCGACGTCAGCTCTGAGGCAAGCACGAACGCCAGCGCCTGCCCTGGCACCAACGCCAGCGCCTACACCCGCACCGATGCCAGCACCGCCGCCAGCACGAACACCGACGCGTGCGCCTGCGCCGACGTCCACACCGATGCCAGCATCAACTTCGGCGCCTCACCTGAATCTGCATCAGCGCCAGCGCCGATGTGCCAACGCTGGCGCCTCCTCCAGCAACATCGCCAGCGCCTACAGCAGCTCCCACGCCTGCACCAACGCCAGCTCTAACGCCGGCGTGCCCGCCAGCGCCGACACCAGCACCGTCGCCAGCATCAACGCCTGCGCCTACGCCGGCATCAACGTCAGCTCCGACGCGCTAGCTTTTACGCCTGCGCCTAAGCCGGCACCAGCGCCATCGTCTACACTGGCGCTGTCGCCAGCTCTGCCGCTGGCGCGAACACTTGCACCTGCTACAGCACAATCGCGGATTCCATGAGCTGCGCGACGAGTACCACGTGCAACGCGACGAGGCCCACGAGCTGCGCGGCAGAGACCACGAGCAGCACTGGAATGCATCGACAGGCTGGCATCCCCCAAATAGGGCGACACGCCGGCGCCCACCCTTGGGGTGCGAGAAAATTCGTGCACAGTTTCGACTCCGGCCGAGTCCAGGGCAGACGCCCTCCCACGATCCACCGGTCACTCGGCCAGGACAGCTACAGGCCTGCCAGCCTCAACTGACAGAGAGGATTCCGTGAGCTGCACGACGAGGGCCACGAGCAGCACGACGAAGACCACGCCCACGTCGACCGATGCGAGCTACAGCACGACGGGCGCCACGAGCTGCACGACAGATGCCATCCGCAGCACGACAGGTGCCAGAAGCAGCACGACGGATACCGCGAGCTGCACGACGAGTACCACGCGCAGCGCGACGGAGACCAGAAGCTGCACGTCGACGAGCACGCGGGACACCAGGAGCAGCACGGCGGATGCGCAGCACGACGGGTACCAGGAGCAGCAAGGAGGGCACCATGAGCAGCGCGACGGGTGAGTCACACGGCGAGTTCCACGAGCAGCACGACGGGTACGAGGTGCAGTCCGGCGCGTACCATGAGCAACACGACGGGCACCAGGTGGAGATTTTGGATGATGCGAGGTGGAGGAGGGACGTATATCATTCCACTGCTGCTGTCTATTACGACGTGGTGCATATCTGTTTACACGCGCGGCCAGCTAGACCGCTACGGGTGCCACAGGATCCCCAAGCGGCCCAAGCGACACGGTTGATAAAGCGCCCGGTGAAAACAGCGGGCTTTCAGATGATGGAAGCCGCGGTGGTAAGAAATCGGCCTCCAGCGCCCACCAACGCGGCATTCCGACCTACAGCGTCCAGTTGTCCACCACCACCTGCCGATTTTCAACCTCTACCAGTTCGACACTGCGCTATCTGGCCACCAGCATCCATTTGTTCAGCTCCACCTCCGCCGATCGACCTCCCGCGTCCACAAATTCGGCATTTTCACCCCCAGCAGCTAGCACCCAACTCCAATTACACCTCCACCGGGTGACCTCCAACCTCCACCAGTTCCGCACCCTGACCTCTCACATCCAGCATCCGACATAAACGTTCACACCGCCACCCCCACCTATCGGCTTTCAACCTCCACCAAGCCAGCACAACCACCTGCAACACTGTGCATTAAACATCACACATACACCTTCACCTATCGACCTCCGACGCACACCAACGCAACATCCCGACCTACAGCATCCATTCTCCTGGCTTCGCATGGGCGGGTTCCCACGCCCCACCCAGGCCAGCCCGAAGGTGACAGCTCCACTATGGACCACGCTCCCCCTCCACTCCGACGGCAGCCCCTGCACCAACGCCTCCGCTCCGACGACAGCCCTTGCACCAATCTCAACACTGGCACCTACGCCGACGCCAACACCAAAGCCCACCCCAGCACCGACGCCAACGACATCCGACGCTTGCTCTCCATCTCCGGCTTCGCCTCCACCCGCCCCGTTCCACCATGCGGGCCGTGCATGCGCACCTCCATCTCAGCTCCGACTCCTGCCCCGACGCCTGCGCCGCCTCCAACTCTACCTTCTCGCGCGGGCTTCATGTCCGGTTTGAGCCCTCAACGGCCGCCGACTCCAGCACCCTACCGACTCCAGCTCACCAGCGACTGAATTCAATGCACAATCTGCGCGCAGGGAGTTGAGTTGCTGGGCCCACGACGCACCAGTACCACTACCCGTGCCCGTCACCCTACAGCCTCCGCCCTGACACGGGGACGGCTACCTGAAATACCCGACGTGGCTCCGACGGTCATCGTGAGTCGCAGCGCCAAGATGGACAGGGAGGTCTTGACATTGGTGCCAGGGTGCGACGCCATGGTGGCGGCGGTGTGAGCCACTCTTCCGCGCGCTCCCTCCTTGGCGGGGCCTCCTCCTGGTTTCTCCTTCCTCCTCCTCTTTCTTGTGGAGTCCGATATCAGCCGCTTTGCGCAGGGGGGGGCACGAATTGTTCGCTCCAGTCAGCGCGTGCGGTAGGCTGGGTTCTCACTTCGTTTCTTTGCGCGTGTGTCAACGCGCTGGGCGAGGAAGAAAACGGCTTTCAAATGCATCTGTTTCCGCTGGCGCTGCAGGTTGACAGCGGGGGGCTCTTCAGCCAGCAAAGCGCCGAAACTAGCCGCACTTTTTTGTCTAGGTGCTTGCACTGGGAACTGCGCGGAGGATAGCGTCATGGGGGAGTGCGCAAGGGGGGGCAATTTCCCAGCGCAAGCCCCACCTAGGAGTTGGAGCCCCTAGGAAAGCAGCATTAGTAGTGACAGTAAAGCTAAGCTAAAACTAAGCTGAAGCTAAGCTAAAGCTAAGCTAAAACTACATTAAAACTAAGCTGGAGCTAAGTTAAATCTAAGCTAAAGCTAAGCTGAAACTGAGCTGAAGCGAAGCTAAAGCTAAGCCGAAGCTAAGTTAAAGCTAAGCTACAGGTAAGCTAAAGCTAAGCTGAAGCTAAGCTAAATCTAAGCTAAAGCTAAGGTTAAGCTAAGCTAGAGCTAAGCTAAAGCTAAGCTGAAGTTAAAGCTAAGCTACAGCGAAGCTAAAGCTAAGCTGAAGCGAAGCTGGAGCTAACTAGCTAAGCGAAAGCTAAGCTACAGCTAAGCTAAGCTAAGCTAAGGCTAAGTTAAAGCTAACTAAGCTCAAGCTAAGCTAAAGCTAAGCTACAGCTAAGCTGAAGCTAAGCTAAAGCTACAGCTGAAGCTAAAGCTAAAGCTCCCAGGGGACTGGGGGGGCCACGGGGCGGATGCCGGGGGAACCGCCCGGGGCGGGTTGCCTTGCCCGGCCCTTTAAGCAAACAGGGCAAGAACCCTTCTAGGCAGAGCCTAGGTAGGGAATGGGATGGATTGCGAAATGAATAGTGTGATCGATACTGAGATCGATAGTGGGATCAATTCTGATCGGAGGGTGGGGGGTGAGATCGCAGTGGAACGGAGACCCCAAACTGGAAATCGTTTCGTTTTGTTCGTGTCGTGCGTGAGGGCGAGGCGACGCTGCGTGGGCGCGCGAGAGGAATTAATCCGCCGTTGCTGGGGCAAAGTCAAGACTAATGATTATCCCCCTCCCGCCCGTCCGGCGGTGGCCCGCGGTTTCCCGCGATGTCCCGTGGTATCCCGTGGTGTCCCGTGGTCTCCGCCGTTGCTAGGGCGAAATCAAGACAAATGATTTCCCCTTCCGTGTCCCGCGGTGTCTTGTGGTGTCTCGTGGTGCCCGCCGCTGCTAGGGCGAAGTCAAGACAAATGATTATCCCCCTCCCGCCCGTCCAGCGGTGTCCCGCGGTGTCTTGTGGTGTCTCGTGGTGCCCGCCGCTGCTAGGGCGAAGTCAAAACAAATGATTCTCCCCCGCCCGCCCTTCCGTCCGTCCGTCCGGCGGTGGCTCGCGGTGTCCCGCGGTGTCCCGTGGTGTCCCGCGGTGTCCCGTGGTGTCCCGTGGTGTCCCGTTGAGTTGAGTGAGATCGATAGTGAGACCGATAGTGATCTCGACGTTGAGATCGATACAGGGATCGATGTGGTGCCCCGAGGTGTCCCGTGGTGTCCCAAAGAGTGAGATCGATAGTTAGATCGATAGTGAGATCGGCAGGTGTCCCGTGGTGTCCCGTGGTGTCCCGTTGAGTGAGATCGATAGTGATATCGATAGTGAGATCGATGCGGTGCCCCGAGGTGTCCCGTGGTGTCCCGTGGTGCCCCAAAGCGTGAGATCGATAGTAAGATCGATAGTGCTATCGATAGTGCGATCGATGTGGTGTCCCGAATTGTCCCGTGGTGTCCCGTGGTATCTTATGGTGTTCCTTTGAGTGAGGTCGATAGTGAGATCGATAGTTAGATCGATAGTGAGATCGAGAGGTGTTCCATGGTGTCCCGTTGTGGCCCGTGGTAGCCCGTGGTGTCCCGTTGAGTGAGATCGGTAGTAATGTCGATGGTGAGATCCACAAGTGTCCCGTGGTGTCCCGTGGTGTTCCGCGGTGTCCCGTTGAGTGAGATCGATAGTTAGTGAGATCGATCGAGTCAGATGTTAGTTCCTCCCCTCTCCCCCCCCCCACAACCTCCTTATCACCTGAAGGGTGGTCGCATAGGTATTGATAGTGGGAACGGTAGTGAGATCGATCGAATGAGTTCGATAGTGAGATCGACATTCAGATCAAACGTGAGATCGATAGTGAACACAGTAATGAGATCGATACTGGGATCAAGAGTGACATCGATACTGCTTTCGATCGTGAGATCGATAGTGAGGACAATAATGAGATCGGCAGTGACATCGATAGTGACATCGATAGTGAGACCGATCGACAGATCGATCGTGAGATTGATACTGAGATCGATTTCGAGATGGATAGTGGGATCGCTCGTGAGATCGATTGTGAGATTGATAGTCAGATCGATAGTGAAATCGATATTGAGATCGTTTGCGATATGGATAGTGGGATCGTTAGTGAGATCGATAGTGAGATCGATTGTGAGATTGATGGTGAGATCGAGATCGATTGCGAGATGGATAGTGAGATCGATAGTGAGGCCGATTGTGAGATCGATAGTGATGTCACGAGTGTGATCGATTGTGTGAGACGTTGGTTCATCCCACCTCCCGAACCTCCTTATCACCCGAGGGGGCGCTTTCTGGCCATACCGTGGGGTAGCGATACTCTATAAGACGCTTCTGCTAGACGTTCGGTTCGGACGTGTGCTCTCAAGAGGGGCGCACAGTACCTGTGTATCCTTCTGTGTCCCAGGACATCTTGAACCTCGTGTACATCTGTGAGCAGTTCGGGCTGGACGAGGTCGCCCAGTACTGGCAGAAGGTCGTCGACATGAACGAGTACCAGAAGAAAACGTTCACGGGCCGGATCATACACGCCCTTTTCAACACCGTCTCCAGAAAGAAGATCGCGGTCTTCGGTTTCGCCTTCAAGAAGGACACCGGCGACGTGCGCGAGACGCCTGCTCTGACCGTCTGCGACATGCTGATGCAGGACGGGGCGATGGTTCACGTTTACGACCCAAAGGTGAAGAGAGAGGACGCCGTCACAGAGTTCAAGTACCACGGTGTGGAAGTTGACGATAAGCTGTTCACTTTCACGAGCACGCCAGAGGAGGCTGTCGAAGGGGCGCATGCCATTGTTATTCTCACGGAGTGGGACACGGGGGAGCGCTAACAATCCACCTACGTACACCGATTTTGGCCAGTCCAGTCCTGCCTCCCTGTCCAGGCCAGGAAGGCGTACACGTACGTCCGTGTTGAATTCAGGATTGGTATGGACAGAATCGGTGTAAGTGGGAAGCTTGGGTCCTCCGAGGACGAGTTCAAGACCTACAAATATGATGTGTTCTACAGCAAGATGATGAAGCCGGCCTTCTTATTCGACGGTCGGAACTTGCTGGACCACGTCGGCCTGCAGAAGGTCGGCTTCGAGGTGCATGCGATCGGCAAACCTAAGATCTCCTCGGACTCCGAGCCAATCAATCGCGCTGGCAGTTTCAGCATGCCCGACCCGACGTACTGATCTGCATTGATTCTCTGGTGACCGCTGACAGATTACACGGTATCGGAACAGCACCACTGACAGTTGTAGCAATATTCGTGGCCGTCTAGTCTTCCAGATACAGCTGTCTGACGCTCGGCGAGTTTTTCAGATGCAGCAGCCGAACGTCTGCACGGCACAGTTTCATTTTGTTCATTTTGTTTCTTTCAATGCAGTCACGCGCACTTTTCCCTTGTTTTATTTTCCCAAGTACAGCTGACGCGGTCGCTGTTAGATGCTGTGAGCGTCATATGCTTCTCCTCCTCCCGCCCATTTCACATCCTCCTACCCCTCATCCTACTCTTCTTTCCCCTCCCTCCTCCTGAAGCTAGCTCCTGCCCCGTTTCCGCCTTCTCCTCCATTGCAGCATGCACGTCGAACAAGACAACGGCGTACCAGCAGGTGCCCCACGGAAGTCTCTTATCCTCCGATCGCCCTAGGGGTGTCACCGAAGCCCCGAGGCACCTCCGGAAGCGCAACACAATGTTGCCCAAGTGGTTCTCGGAGCAAGGCGTTCTTCTCGCAGGTGTCTCCTGTTCTCGTCCTTCTGTCCTCCGCCGCCTCCCCTTTTTGGCTCCTCGCCCTCCGCCGTCCTCCTCTCCTCCGCCTCCTTGGCCGCGGCTGCGGAGGACGAGGAGGCGAAGAGGACGAGGAGGGCGGATCTGGCCGACGAAAGGGTAGGATAGTAGGATTGGGAAAGGGGGAGTTACGAAATCTACTGCATGCAGCTGCTTTCCGCTCGGCCGCCAGGACCATTCCTCCATACATGGGCGCCTCCTGGCGCCAATGGGCGCCAGGAAAACCAGCTACGTGGGGGTGATTCTCTACCCTGCCCTTTGCTATCCTGCCCTCTCGTCCCCCCCTGGCGGAGAGGGTGGAGCGCGGGGCCAACGCCCTCGCACGATCAACCTCACAGGTATTCGTGGTCGGTGTTTCGTGCGAAGGGGGGGATGGCCAGTCCGTCTCACCCCACGCTGCCCCTGCCAGCTTCGCGGACGCGCAGGCATGGATCAGGGCGCACGGGTCAGCGACGGGTCCCGCCCCCCGATCCGCGGCTCTGGCGCCACGCGTCCACGGATCCGTAATCCATACGAGCGTGTGCCCGAACGGAGTCACCATCGTCACCTCGCACTGGCTCTGCCAGCCTGGCGGCCAGCGCAGCGTGATGCCTCCGGGCTCTGCCAGCCTCTCGAGCGAGTGCCCGGGGGCTCGGGCAACCTCTCGCGAGACGCCCAGATCCCGAGCCGCGGCCCAGTCAGATGCACTGTACGCGCGCGCGTCCTGAACTCCGAGATGTGACCCCTAGATCTTCGACGGTATGATTTTTTCAAACCAGGCATGTTTCCTGGATTTCGGACTCCAGGCGCTGTTACCGTTTTTCGGGGCCATCACACATAGATCCATGGTCAAAAACTGGCCCCAGAGAAGGGTCCGAGGCCTCTCACTGAAAAAGCATCTCGTCGGATGTCTGGACCCAGCATGGACCTTGCGGGGGCACCAGCGTCGACCTCTCCCCCGAGGCTTCTTGGCGCCCCGAAGCCTCCCTGGCGCTCCCCGAGGCGTCCAAGATTATCAAGAGAACTACTCCTAAGACGGCCTGGCAGGCCACCGAAGCCGCCAACATGGCGGCACCACAATGGGCCCCAGAGGCCAGAAGCGAGGAAGAACGTCCGGGTTGAAACTATCAGCTTGTCGGAGGCCTGGGCTTGGCATGCTGCCGCGCCTCAATCTCGCCAGGGGGCACGGTGGCGGATCGACTGCGCACTTAGGGCATCTGGGGGCTGCTTTCGGGCACCGAGTCTACCAGAGGGCGACCGGCGACGAGTGCCAAGTCCCCTGGATGGAGCTTCTGGCGGCCTGCGTCGTTAGCCTGCGTTGGGGGTGCGGGCCTGCCTCGGAGGTCTCGGCGGAGTGGAGGGGTGGGGGAAACCTGGAGCGATCTCCGAAGGCACCCCGATTGCACCTATCAAGAAACACAATCTGGGGAAGAAGAGCATTTGGAAGTCTCGAACGTGTCGGTCAGAAGCGGCAGGCAGAGAGTGCGCTGCAGCACATAGAAAAGGTCTGCGACTGTCCTAGGCATGTCCGCGCTCACAGGTTCCGGGAGATCCGTGGGCGCCGAACCAAGCACATGTTTGTAGTGGTCTCTCCATGATCCCCATACGTCTGGGTGGCAGTCAGTCCAGTAAGGCCTGCGGCCACGACGTGTCGGAGGAAAGATCTCGGCAGACGGTTCTGCGACGCGCAAGTCGATCCAGCCTCAGCTCACTGTGGCCTACAGAGAATGGGGAGTCTCGCGTCGGCTGCGCCCCGGGATTGAACCGCGTCGGCGATGCGATGCGACCTAGAAGCTCCCTCCGCCCCGCCCCATGCGATGCCCACACACTGCTTCTGGGCCCGCCAGGAGGCGCCAGCCCCCCCGGCCGCACCACCTCGCCAGCGCGGCGTGGAGCTCCGCGTCGTCGAGGCTCCCGAAGACGTGCGGGAGCTCCTTTCCGGGAAGCGCGTGCTCCACGTCAAGGGCTTCGGCAGCGGCTTCGGGGACGCGCCCGAGGAGCAGGCGGGCGCACAGCAGCGGCAGGACCAGGCCGCTGCCCAGGCCATCGACCGGTTCCGGCCAGACTACCTGGTGGTCGACGGCGATCCTTTCGGCACTGGCTTCCAGCGGTACATCAGGGTTTATGCGGACAGGCAGGTCGGCGCTGGGCTGGCGGTGCCGGAGCTTGTCTGGGTGAAGAGCGTCAAGGGGAGCTCGCCCACCCCTGAGGAGCGCGAGAAACGCCTCGGCCAGGCCCGCGAGTGGGCCGACCAGGGGCTCCCTGTGATCGTCTCGTGGCTGCCAGAGGCCAGCGTCTCTGAGGGCGTGGACAGGCTGTTTGGGGCGGGCTGCTGGGAGAAGCTGCAGGGGCAGAGGTTCGACTTTCGAGGCGCTGTGCGGCTGCTGGAGCTGGCCGAGCCCGAACAGCCCGAGTGGCTCCGCGGGCTGTCGAGTACCGCGCCTGGGCGCGAGCTGTACTTGGCCATCAAGGCCGTGGAGGGCAGGGCCGAGGAACAGTACTTTGAGAGGTGCAGCTTCGAGAACGCCGCGAAGGGCTACGCAATTTATCGGCACCTGCGGGGAGAGGTCGGACGGGGCTGGAACCGGGATGCATCGTTGCAGAGAGTCCCAGCACACCCTCGGAGCGTTCCAGCGCGCTCTGGAACAGCCGCGGCGCCCGATACGTAATCCAGGACTGCCTGGTCTCAGGGATACCGCATATACGTCCCGGCCCGGTTCTGTCCGGGTCCCGGCTTCGTCTTCCGAGGGCCACGCGCCGGCTGCGCAGGGGGTTGTGAGCTTCGGCGGTGGCGAGAGCGTGCTGCTGGAGTTCGCCTCCTACCAAACCACCCCAACCCAACCCGAAGGCTTCAATTTGCCCTCCATTTCCAGTGGGGGGGGGTCGGGGAACGTTGAAAAAACAAAGGGAACCCGTACCCCCCCCAACCCGAAATTCGGGTCAAATTCGGGTCTTCGGGTTGGGTTGGGGTGGTTTGGTAGGTAGTCAGGAGTTCGCCTCCCTCTACCTCTGCCCAGACTCCGGCTTCGACGCGGCCCAGGCCGCCCTGGTCCCCTTCGGCCGCGGCCGGGCCGGCGACCCCACGCTGCCCGCGCACGAAGGCCTCGCCTTCCGGCCGGTGGAGCAGCTCCACGTCGAGGAGCCGCCCTCTCCTCCCCGCCCTCCGCTCTCCAGGCCTCCCTCCCTCCCCTCCCTCCCTCCCTCCCTCTCCCTGCCCCTCCCCCTCCCTCCCCTCTCCTCACCTCCCTCCCCTCCCTCCCTCCCTCCCCTCCCTCCCTCCCCTCCGCTCTCCAGGCCTCCCTCCCTCCCTCCCTCCCCTTCCTCTTTCCCTTGCCCCTCCCCGCCCAGGCTGGGGAGTTCGGGGCGTATTCTGTTGCTGCTGTGCATGCGGTGTCTGGCTCGTCGATCGACCCTTGCTTGAGCACGTCGTTTGGCAGGCCAGTGGGACCTGCAGCCAGGTCACCGCATCAATGAGAGGCTGCACGTCGGGTTCTTGTCACTGCCCAGTTACCTGCCGAAAGTCGTCGATGAAGTGTTTGAGGTGGAAGCGCATGCTGTGGATCCCCTTGCTTCTTAGGAGGGCAAATAGGCACAGGCACCAATAATCGGCGATTCCCTGGGAGGTAGGGGAACATATGGGAAGGGGGGGCGGGAAGACGAAACCTAATAACATATGGACAACACGGAGAATCCTGGGAGCTGTGTCTAGCTAGCTGTGTGTGTGTGCGCGACCCTGGGCCCCTTGAGACCTGTCGACCTCGGATCGCTGCCAGGCCGAGACCTCTCCGGCTGGGCGCCGGAGCCCGCCCGCCACGACCGCCCCCCGCCGCCGACGCTCCATGGGCCGCCGCCGCCGCCCGAGATCTCTCACGATCTGACTTTTCCAATCTGGACGATTTCGGCATCTGGAGCTTGTTTTCGGGACCTGGGGCCAAAAACTACGTAGCCCCAGGGAAGGGGTCGGTGCCTGTGGGGCCGCGCATTGAAACAAATCACATCGTCGGATGTCTGGGTCTCCGCGCCGCGAAGAAATAACGAGGGGCCATTGCTTGGACCCGGGAATGGGCCGCCCCCCCCCGCCGGATGTTTGGGAGCGCGGTCACAGGGGGTCGTTGGGGCATCGGTCCTCCTCCTCCTCCACCTCCTCCTCTTCCTCCTCCTCTTCCTCCTCCTCCTCCTCCTCCTCCTCCTCCTCCTCCCCGCCCCCACCCCCCCCCCCTCCCCCTCCGCCTCCTCTCCCTCTCATCCTCTCCTCCTCCTCCGCTCTTTATCCGATCCTCGCCTCCCTCCTCCCTCCTCCTCCTCATCATCCTCCTCCTCCTCCTCGTCCTCCTCCTCCTCCTCCTTTCCCCTCCTCCCCCCCCCCAACTCTTCCATTCCCTCATTGCCCACTGCATCGGTGGAGGTGTTCCCGTCGCCACGGGACGGCGATGCGCATGGACACACATGAGCATCGTCGGATGCCCGGGTCCGCCGCCATGGCCGCCCTCGGGCGGCCGTTCCCCATCGACCAACCCGAGATCCGACGTGCGCCCCGAGAGCCCTGAGTTTTTGACGCCATTGGCCCCTGGAGGACTGGAACCCCCTTCAGCTGGCAGGGCTCGTTTCGACTCCTCCGATCCGACTCGATTCGATGTCGATGGCTTCTTGAGGAGGAGGAGGAGGAGGAGGAGGAGGAGGAGGAGGAGGAGATGGGGAGGGGGAGGGGGGGAGACCAGGAACCGAAGAATAGGAGGAGGAGGAGGGGGAGGAAGAGGAGGAGGAGGAGCAGGAGCAGGAGCAGGAGGAGGAGGGTCTCCTCTGTCCTCTCCTTTGTCGGTCAGTTCCTCCCTCTTCATCCTTCCACCCCTTACGCTGAAGCTGTTGTGCGATCACCCCGTTTTCACACACCCTTCTGCGCGCTTCCACGCGATGGATGGTTTCAGTTGGCTCGCTGGGGAGTCCCCAAGATCACCAGCCGTGTTGCCCTCAGTGCTGCACAAATGATGAGAGCGACCAGGCTTCACCTCACTGCGTGGGAGTCCCTCATTCCCCAACTCAGTGCTGCCGCTGACGCGTCCTTGTCGCTCCAGGAACTTGCGGCCCGCAGATTGGCCCAGAGCTTTTGGATCCAACCGCCCGTCGCCGAATGTCAGCAGAATGCTGCCGCTGGTTTCCGAAGTCTCTCGGTGTGAGCTCCTCACGTCGTCCCCTGTCCTTCGCTCGCGACTTGCTGTTGCTGTTACCCCTGCCCTTTCTCTCGCCCACTCCTGCCTCCTCGTGACTGCGCACAAACGCCGCCCGAGAATTCATGCTCTCTTGTATGCCGCTACTTGTGATGAGCTAAATCGAATGCAGCGCACATGTGTAAAACGTCTTCCGTCGTGGCCCCCGCTGGCCCCGCAGATGCGTGACGCAATTCAGTGGCGGCAAGCTCGAGGGGTGCTCCAGCATCTGTCCCTACTGACGGCCTTGGCATTACTTGAAACTTGGTTTGGCGCTTGGACCACGGCCCCCGTCGATTTCAGCAAGTCGAGCCCTGTGTTCTCTGTGCTCCAGGTAATGACAGCACTGGCGAGTCGAGGCATCCGGAGCGGTGCTCCTGTCTCCCGGCAGAGAGCACGGCAGGCCATTCCTATAGTGAGATGGTTCATGCGCCGAGCCTGGAAGCGGTAATAGTGACCACGTGAACTTTATTCCGCAGGCCACACATGCGAGGAGGAGAAGGAAGATGAGGAGGAAGAGGAGCAGCAGGAGGAGCAGGACGAGGAGGGGGATAAGTAGGAAACGAGGTGGAGGAGAATGAGGAGGCGGAGGAGGAGGGGGGAGAAGGATGAAAAGAAGAGGAGGAGGAGAAGGAGGAGTAGGAGCAGAAGGAGGAGGAGGCGGTGAGGGAGGAAGAGGGTGAGACGCGGAGCCGAGGAGGGGGTGGTGGTGGAAGAACCACGAACCAAGGAGCCGATGAGGTTGGTGGCGGAGTAGATGGAGGAGGAGGAGGAAACGGGGAGACGAGGATACAAGGAGTCGGGACAACGACGAGACGACTAGGCAATAATGAGATGGAGGAAGAGGAGGAGGAGGAGGAGGAGGAGGAGGGAGGAGGAGGAGGAGGAGGAGGGGGAGGAGAAGGAGGAGGAGGAGGAGAGAAGGAGGAGGAGAAGGAGGAGGAGGAGTAGATGGGGATGAAGAGAAGGAGGAGGAGAAGGAGAGGAGGAGAAGGAGGAAACGAGGAGGAGGAAACGAGGAGGGAAACGATGAGGAACGGAAACGAGGAGGATGAGGAGGGGGAGAAAGAGGAGGATGAGGAGGAGGAGGAGGATGAGGAGGAAAAGGAGGTGGTGGAGAAGTGTCAGGAGACGAGGAGACGAGGAAACCAGGAAGTGACAAGAAAACGAGGAGGAGGTGGAGGAGGAGGAGGGGGGGAGGAGGAGGAGGAGGAGGAGGAGGAGGAGGAGGAGGAGGAGGAGGAGGAGGAGGAGGAGGAGGAGGAGGAGGAGGAGGAGGAGGAGGAGGAGGAGGAGGGAGGATGAGGAGGAGGGGGGGAGAAGGAGGAGGAGAAGAGGAGGAGGATGAGGTGGGGAGGGGGCGAGGATGGAATGAGGAGAAACGTGCGGCGAGGAGGAAGTGGATGATGACGAGGAGAGGAGGAGGAGGAGGAGGAGGACGAGGGAGGAGGAGCGAGGAGGAGGAGGGAACGAGGGAGGAGGAGGAGGAGGAGGAGGAGGAGGAGGAGGAGGAGGAGGAGGAGGAGGAGGAGGAGGAGGGGGAGGAGGAGGAGGAGGAGGAGGAGGAGGAGGAGGAGGAGGAGGAGGAGGAGGAGGGAGGAGCAGCAGGAGGAGGAGGAGGGAGGGGGAGGATGATAACGAGGAGGAGGAGGAGGAGGAGGAGGAGGAGGAGGAGGAGGAGGAGGACGAGGAGGGGGAGGATGAGGAGGTGGAGGAAGAGAAGGAATTCTTGATTAATGCTGGAATACTGCTGAAGGATGCCAGTCAGCAGCGAGGCCACAGCTGGATGGGCGGCTCTCGACAGCAATCTATCTCCGAGTCTTGGATTTCAGCAATGACTTGATAACGCTCGATTATGCCTCTGCACGGAGGCGCCCCACTCTCTTATCCATGGGCCATTTGTCGCCCTTGGGTGGGAGCCCCTTGCGCAATCTATTCAAATGATTTTCCCCCGAGGGGGTCTTACGGTTACGGCACGGCTCAGCCAAGAGTACGAGTCGCCCCCCCCCCCCCCGTTGGCCGCATTGCCTATGCACGCGCACTTCCAGCACCAGACGTGCCCATTGTGCATAGCCATGCTGTGGGTGGGGTGCACACTCTTAGTGGCCGTACGCAGCTCGGCGGTGGGGCAGGGCGAGGGACCAACACAACATTATCACTCTCACTCAAGTGCCGTTGGGTGGGGTCGCCCTTGCAGAGATTATCTTCGAGCCGGAGCCAGTCGACCAGAGACGATCCTGGGGGAGGCCCACGGCGGCACCGACGACACACCCACGTACAGTTGGCCGGAGCCCCCGGGTTATGACCCGCTCGAGCTCGACTTCATGCCTGGACGCAGCCCCCCCCTAGGAGGAGGAGGAGGAGGAGGAGGAGGAGGAGGAGGAGGAGGAGGAGGAGGAGAAGGAGAAGTAGGAAACAAGGAGGAGGAGGAGGAAGTGGAGGAGAAGGAGGAGGAGAAGGTGGAGACGGGGCCGGCGATGAGGGGACGAGGAAACGATGAAACGACGAGATGAGGAGGAAGAGGAGGAGGAGGAGGAGGATGAGGAGGAGGAGGAGGTGGAGGTGGAGGATGAGGTGGGGGGATGGCGCGAGGATGGAACGAGGAGGAAACGTGGAGGCGAGCAGGAGGAGGAGAAGGAGGAGGAGGAGGAGGAGGAGACCAGGGAACGAGGAGGAGGAGGTGGAGGATGAGGAGGAGGAGGAGGAGGAGGAGGAGGAGGAGGAGGAGGAGGGAGGAGGAAGGAGGAGGAGGGAGGGGGAGGATGAGAAAGAGAAGGGGAAGGATGTGGATGAGGATGAGGAGGGAGGAGGAGGAGGAGGAGAAGGAGTTGGAGGAGGAGGAGGAGGAGGAGAAGGAGGAGGAGGAGGTGGAGGTGTTGGAGGAGACGAAGAGCCGAGGAGGCAAGACGACGATGAGGAGCAGGAGGAGGAGGAGAAGAGGAAGTAGAGGCGTAGAGGGCCAGTGTAAGCTCAAGACCAATCAACGATGTTGCAATTTAACCTCCCCCCAAGCTTCCTCCCCGCAGGCCCATCCTGAGCCATGCCAGAGCACCATTCGTGGGACTTCCACGCCGCGACCCACCGTTTTTGTTGCGTCTCGACGATCCTGAATCGTGCCAGAACGCCGTTCCTGGGATGTCACAACCACGAATCACCGCAACGGCTGCGCCCTGGCAGTCCGAGAGTGTTCCAAAACACCAGTTCTGGTACGTTAGCCATGAGAATCCTCGAAATTGGAGGCGTGCTGCTTGGAAACCTTCTCGGCGTGCTGGTTGACGGCCCCTCGGGATCTGCTGGCGCCCCAGCCGCCCTTCTAAATTACCAATGCAAAATGGTCGCGGGGCGGCCGCGCATGCTCCAAATGTGGAGGCAAAGTGCGTGTTGTATTGTTTTTTGACCGGGATGGTGGGGGGGGGCCCTCATGTGGTTATCATGGTTCCGGGTTGGCTGCCAGCCGTGTGGGGGAAGGAGTGTACACTCATAGGAAACAGTGGTAAACTTGTCCCCGAAGGGGAAGAGGGACTCTTGGAAGAGGGAAGAAAGACATCCTTAGACCGCCTGCGCCCAGAGGGCTGGCGGGATTGTTGCAGTTGCTTCAGGGTCACATCTGGTAAGGACATATCAAGCGAAACGCCCAGCCCGCCTTACCACCACGCCACGGGGTGCGACGAGGAGGAGTAATGTGTAAGGACGGGAAGACGAGGAGACGAGGGGAGGGGAGGAGAGAGTGGATGATGAGGAGCAAGAGGAGGTGTTGGAGGAGAAGGCGACGAGGAGGAGACAAGGAGACGACCAGGAGGAGGAGGAGGAGGAGGAGGAGGAGGACCAGGTGGAGGATACAAGGAAGAGGAGGACACGAGTGGACGAGGAATAGGAGGAGAAGGAGGAGGCGACAAGAAGGATGAGACCAGAAGGAGGGGAAGGAGGAGGGGAAGGATGAGGAGGATGAAGAGGAGGAGACGATGATGAGGAGGAGGCCCAGTGTAAACCCAAACCTTATCAACGATATTGCAACGAACCCTCTCCAGGCTCCCTCTTCACAGGCCCCTACAAGGGTTCATGCTCACTGAGGGAAGTGGCCCGCTGGAATACAACAGCTTGAACTTCTCAAACGGTGCCGGAACTTCACCCCTTGGACTTCGACGCCGCTAATCATCGTTTCTGTTGCGTCTTGACGATCCTGAATCGTGCCACATGCAACCCCATTCCCGGGTCTTCAACACAGCAAATCAACGTAACTGTTGCGCCCTGGCTGTCCGATGGTGTTCCAAAAACCCGTTTCTGGGACATTAGGCGTGACAACCTTTTGTAGAGTCTGATAGCAAACGCGCGCGGGGCACACGCGAGAGACACATTTTCAAAACCACCCGCTCTCCATCCATGGAGCTCTTGTAAGCCTTTGCGACGAATGTGCGCGGCGCTAAGGCGATCGCCACATTTTGAAAATGGCTTGCCCTCCATCCGTGAAGCTCGTGCAAACTTCTATGACGAATGCGCGCGACGATAAAGCGAGAACCGCAGTTTGAAAACGACCCGCCCTCGATCCGCGAAACCCTTGCAATTTCTTCGGCCGAGTGCGCGCGACGATTTCGGGGGAGCCACACAAGAAACGGCCCGTCTTCCATCCGTGCAGCTCTTGCAAAAGTTTAAGACGAGCGTGCGGGGTGCTACGGCGAGAGCCACACTTAATAAGCACGGACCGCCCTCGACCCATGAAGCTCTTAAACACGTTTAACACGAATGTGCGCGGCGCTACGGCGAGAGCCACATTTTGAAAACGGCCCGCCCTCCATCCGTGAAGTTTTTGCCAGCAATCATCTTTGAAGGATCATAAGTGACAATGAAAGTCTCAGGCGAAGTGCTCAGCCCGCCGTACCGACGCGACTCGGGGAGCAACAGGGAGGAGTTGTTTACATTGATCAGGAATGGCGACGGAGGAGGAGGAGGAGGAGGAGGAGGAGGAGGAGACGAGAAGGAAACGTGGAAACCAGAAGGAGGAATAGGAGGGAAAAGGAGGAGGAGGAGGAGGAGGAGACAAGGAGGAGGAGGAGGAGGAGGAGACAACGAGGAGGAGGAGGAGGAGGAAACCAGAGACGAGGTGGAGGAGACGAAGTGGAGAAGGAGGAGAAGGAGGAGGGGAAGGAGGTGGAGAAGGAAGAGGAGGGAAGAGGAGGAAGAGGTGGAGACAAGGAGGAGGAGGAAACCAGAGACGAGGTGGAGGAAGCGAGGAGGAAAGGTAGGAGGAGGACGAATAGGAGGAGTCACGCTCCAGGCTGCAGCCCTAAGTGTGCGCATCGTCAAGAATAGAGGAGGAGGACGACGACGACGAGGAGGAACAGCAAGGACAGCAACAGCAGCAGCAGCAGCAGCAGCAGCAGCAGCAGCAGGCCCGCCCTCGGCCAGCCGCGCGCCCGCCATCCGCCCGCCCCTCCTGCCCTCCGCGAAGGGCGGCGGCACCGCGGGCGCCCGCGGGGCGCCGGCGGTGGCCGCCGGGACTGCCGCGCACGCGACGCAGGGCCTGCCGCCGCCCAACAGTTTTGGGGGTCCTTCTCAGAAGGGGAGGAAGGCACCCATACGGCTGCCCTTCCCTTGTTTTCCCCCTCTTGTGCCTCCTGGGAGGCCCTCGTCGCCACCGCTGGAGGCTCTTCGAGATTCCGGTCAGGACGCACCCCTGGAGAGGTCCGGCGAGGAGCGGTATCGGTGCCTTCGGGCTTCCTTACCTTCGACGGCGGCGGCGGCGGTTCTGAAGGGGCTCGATGTAGCTTTTTTGGAGGGGCGCTGGCTCAAACCGCCCCCCAGGCGCTCCTAGACGTTTCCCGTTCGGCCCCCATGAGGGCCCCTAGAGGCAAACATTATTGCTTCTCATTACCTAACAGCGAAGACTGATAGGTTTCTAGTGGTGTCAAAAGAGAGCATCTGATGACTCAGAAGGGAGGTCTGGGCGGCATCCGGACAGCGAGGGCCGGGCTCAGGGCCGGGCTCGTTTTAAGCAAACAGTCACACACACTTCGTGCTCTTCGACCTCCCAGAACTCCATTCCCGGGCCACATTTTGAATGCCCGGAGCCAACTGTAGGCCACTTCGTGCTCTTCGATTCCCAGAACTCCATTCCCGGGCCACATTTTGGATGCCCGGAGCCAACTGTAAGCCACTTCGTGCTCTTCGAGTTCCCAGAACTCCATTCCCGGGCCACATTTTGAATGCCCGGAGCCAACTGTAAGCCACTTCGTGCTCTTCGAGCTCCCAGAACTCCATTCCTGGGCCACATTTTGAATGCCCGGAGCCAACTGTAGGCCACTTCGTGTTCTTCGTGTTCCCAGAACTCCACTCCCGGGCCACATTTTGAATGCCCGGAGCCAACTGTAGGCCACTTCGTGTTTTTCGTGTTCCCAGAACACCGTTCCCAGGCTACATTTCGATTGCCCGGAGCCAACTGTGAGGCTGAGGCTGAGGCAGGCTGAGGCTGAGGCAGGCTGAGACTGAGCCTGAGGCAGGCTGAGGCTGAGGCTGAGGCTGATGCAGGCTGAGGCTGAGGCAGGCTGAGGCTGAGGCAGGCTGAGGCTGAGGCTGAGGCTGAAGCAGGCTGAGGCTGAGGCTGAGGCAGGCTGAGGCTGAGGCTGAGGCTGAGCTGAGGCTGAGCTGAGGGAAGCTGCGGCTGAGGCAGGCTGAGCTGAGGCTGAGGCTGAGGCTGAGGCAGGCTGAGGCTGAGGCTGAGGCTGAGGCTGAGGCCGAGGCAGCTGAGGCTGAGGCTGAGGCTGAGGCTGAGGCTGTGGCTGAGGCTGAGGCAAGTTGCGGCTGAGGCTGAGGCTGAGGCCGAGGCTGAGGCTGAGGCTGAGGCTGAGGCTGATGCAGGCTGATGCTGAGAGGCTGACGCTGAGGCTGAGGCAGGCTGAGGCTGAGGCTGAGGCCGAGGCTGAGGCAAGCCGAGGCAGGCTGAGGCTGAAGCTGAGGCAGGCTGAGGCTGAGGCTGTGGCTGTGGCTGAGGCTGAGGCAAGCTGCGGCTGAGGCTGAGGCTGAGGCTGAGGCTGATGCAGGCTGAGGCTGACGCAGGCTGAGGCTGAGGCAGGCTGAGGCTGAGGCTGAGGCCGAGGCAGGCTCTGGCTGAGGCCGAGGCAAGCCGAGGCAGGCTGAGGCTGAGGCTGAAGCTGAGGCAGGCTGAGGCTGAGGCTGTGGCTGTGGCTGAGGCTGAGGCAAGCTGCGGCTGAGGCTGATGCTGAGGCTGAGGCTGATGCATGCTGAGGCTGAGGCAGACTGAGGCAGGCTGAGGCTGAGGCTGAGGCAGGCTGAGGCTGAGGCTGAGGCTGAGGCAGACTGAGGCTGCGACATCGAGAACAGCATAATTCTACAACTTGATTCTCACCTAAACCTTAAGGGGAATGCTTTTAGATATGCTTCTACGCATCGCTGTTAGGTTGCTTTGCCGGGATAATTCGGTTTTTGATGTTTTTGGTGGGTTTCCGCATTCTCAGCTTGCCGACGCTCTAACCCAGCCCCAGAAGCACCACCACCCGCTTCAAGACGGTTTCAGGGGGCTCACCCCAGGGGCGCCCAGAGCATCCAAGCGGCCCCAAAGCCGCCCCAAGACACTTCCAGGACAGCCCAACAAGACACCGAGCCGCGCCCGAGTCGACAGAGACTTCTTCCCAGATGCCCGCGGTCGCTTCTTGACGGCCCACCACGCTCGCAAGGCGCTCCGCGAAGGATTCCAGACGGCCCAACCCGCCCCCCAGACACTCCAAGAGAGTCCCCAGATGGCCCCCATGAGGGCCCCAACAGGCAATCTTGGGTCATCCTTGGGCTTTTGACGTTTTTGGGGGTTTCCGCCTTTTCGGCTTGCCGACGCTCCAACCCAGCCCCAGAAACACCACCACCCGCTTCAAGACGGTTTCAGGGGGCTCACCCCAGGGGCTCCCAGAGCACCCAAGCGGCCCCAAAGCCGCCCCAAGACATTTCCAGGACAGCCCAACAAGACACCGAGCCGCGCCCGAGTCGACAGAACATCCTTCCCAGATGCCC